CGAATATACCACAAATATTGTATCTGGCACTAAAAATTGTAAAGGCGTTATCGTAAGTCAAGAAGTTTCTGCTGTCTGAAGTGATGTCTCTCTGGAGCTGACTGACGTCTTTTTAGAAGTCGACCGGGAGGCAGGATGCAGAAAAGAATCTTGCTTGCGTCTGATCTCTTGAACAATGTGATTGTCCATTGGCCTCAACGAACGTTGAGCTGCTAAAATTGTAAAGTACGGAAACAGGGATATAGGCGGTATAAGAATAGTAGCCAACCAATAAACAGGGCTAGGAAGCATAACTTCCACAAAAACCTTGTAACCTGTTGTAGAAATAGATGTGCAGAGAAATCCATAGACAATTAAAAACAAATACCAAAGGAAAATGCTTCCCCATATACCCAAGTGCTGAATCCAGCTAAAGTGATTCGTTGTCAACACCATCTGAAGGCTAACTATCCAGATAATGCATGTGTACATACTTGTACCGAAGGCATCCAGGCTTGGTGTTTTCCCGTCCTTTCTGAAGGAATGAAGCTTATAAATGTTCCAGGTGAAGTAGTAAGTGATAAGGGAGCTATATATGCTGTTGGTAAACCAGGCGAAAACTTGAGACCAGTTGAATAGAATGTTCTTAGGTCCTTGCTGATAAAGAGCAGGAAACTGTAGGCACCCTCTTGCAGATACGTCTTGTTCAAAAATGCCAAGCACCAATGCAGGAATGGAGGTAAATATTACGTTGAACAAGGACATAGTCCAGTCATTGTATACCGTTTGTCCAGAATAACATGTATACGCTTCGTAGTAGAAAAGAGTGAGACCAAATGTCATGTTTTTGTAAAAGAAGTAGCAGATCTGCAGGTACCAGTATTCATTAGCAATAAAGTATCCATCCTAAAGACTAACCATTGAAGAAATTCTTTTGTAACACCAATGTCCATGAACAATTAGCAAACGCTCCAGAAAGCTAAATTGAGCAATTGCAAAGTCACTAGCCATAACTGCCTATATAAGGTCTCAGTAAACAACAAGTATGTTCAGAGGAAAATATGAACCTGCATGCCTTCTACGCCACTTATACCAACACCAATATGTGCCTCCTGAATCATGCCCACGTCGTTTGCTCCATCTCCAATGGCCAGGGTAATTTTACCTGTCCCTTGTTTAACAAGCCTTGCCACCTGCTTGTGGATGTTAGTGTTCAAACATCTATAATTCAGACCAAACTCACCAAAGCTTTTTGAAGCGGTGAGACTCTACAACAAATTACAGAAGCACATTTTATAGCTAGCTTAAGCAGGCTCAATTTCAAATCCTCACTTAGCGCATATGTGAGAGATTTTCCATCAATAATCAATGCAAATACTGTATTTAAACTTTTTTCAGAGTCTACATCTTGTAAACCTGACATAATAAGTTCCTGAACTTTATCCTGTAGAAGTCCTGTGTTATCAAATGCGTGCAAAATAAGTATATAAATCAGGATTAACCTTAGCAACTTCTTCCATCTCTCTAGGAGCATCTACTGAGGAGATATTTAAGAGCTCCGGTGCTATAATAATCTGCTTCATTCCCTGTCTAATCAAATTGCAAGCATAGCTGCACATACGTTATAAAGATAGTATAATGCACACCACAAAAACAGGATAAGAGGCAGACCCAATGTTGATAGCAGTCTCGAGCTTATCACCTGTCAAAACCCAGATTTTAAGACCAGCTTGTGCGAGGATCTCAATACATTCTGGAACCTGCGAAGTCTACTACCATATTGAAAGGCAAACTTTATTACAAAAAGCTTACTCCTTTTTGTAGTTTGTCTTCTACAGCAGTGGCACCTAGAAGAACAAGATCTTTCTCCAGTTCATCCGATGCATTGTTTAGTAACAACTCACGCTCAATGCCAACAGTAATTTTGGCATTTTGAAACGTTTCATTCCACCTGATGTATTCGGTTTCCTCAATCTTTCGATATGCCAGCACTAGTGTTCTTAGACCAGCCTCTGCATACTTACCAAGGTGCGCTCGAGTAGCTTCTTCATATTGGCGACCGTTTACACCAAGTCGTTCAAAGATAACGCTGGGGCCATAATGTGAGTAAAACAAATTAGCAGTTCAATTCAATATAAACCTGTCAGCACCCTTGCAGAACAAAATAATTTGTCCATCTTCTCCCTTAGCTACTACAGACATCCTTTTTCTTGTACTGTTGAACTCAAGAAGATTCAGTATTTGATATTCTCTGTACAGAAGTTTTAGTACACTAACTTTGAAATTTTATAGGGCAAACCTTTCCAGCTTTGTGTCAAGATCTATATCGGGTTCCCATACCATGACACTACTTTGGTTCCTTTTAAAAAAAATAAAACCAAATTCTCTGGCAGCTATAACGAAGGCATTTTCGTCTGGGGATTCTGCTTCATAGTGGATTTCGTTGTCGTCATCCTCTTCGGCAATAGCAGAGTGACAAACTGCTAACAGTTGAAAAAAAAGCCGTATCGAATGAGGATTGGGCTCATATATCCAGTTGCCTTCCATTAGGCGTTCGTCCTTGAAGTTAAATCCTTTAATAGTGGGAGCATTCGTCTGGACTTTTTCTGAAGACAAGCAGAACTTCTTGTTATTATCATCTTCGGAACAAGACTCTTGAATGTCTTCAGATTCCCATTGTTCTTTGCTAAGTCTTCTTGCAATACTTTTCTCTACCTCCGTGACACCTCGACCATAGGGCGTGCCTGAAATTGAGCACTTGAGAAAATTCATAGAGTTGCATGTCAAAGTTCCAGTTTTGTCAGATAATATGGTGTGAACTTGCCCAAGTTCCTCGTTCAAGTTGGAAGTTCGTGCTTGAGCTGTCTTGTTGGACTCTTCGTGAAACATTTGCCAGTCCCAGTTGATAAAACTGGCTTGCACTGTCTTAACAATCTCGATTGAGACATACAAAGAGATTGGTATAAGATACCCATATAAAATAAGTGCTGTAACTAGATGTAGAAATGATGCAGCAGTTGCTCGTCGAGGATCATAAAACACCTGCGCCTTGTCAGGAGACATATACCACCATGTAGGCATTTGTTCTTTTGTTACTATGCCGTAGAAAAGAGAACCAACAGCAGCAATTAATAACAAGACGCTGAAAAGGATGTAGATGATGTAGTCCATTTTTTTCTCAATGCGGCTTCGTTTTGAAGGAGGGTCTGTAGCGTTTTGCATGACCTTCGTGTCATGACCGCTAAATATTACAACCCCATATATAAAGTCTGTGTTTCGAAGTCTTGATCCCCGAAGTAACAGTTGCTGGGGCCCAAGAGAACTAAGGTGGTCGTCAAAGTCAAGTGTTCCAATAAATGTGTACAAGCTGTTATTTGGATCTTCACACCTCACAATTCCATCAAATTTCTCAATGTCTTCCTCATCAACTATTTTAACCGTGATTTCTAGTGACTGCTTCACCTTCAAATTTGTTTCACCATCAAGGGTCATGGTTTCGACATAGCAGATTCCATCTGTGTAACTTGTGGATAGCATGAAAAGGTCAGCTGGGAAAAAGTGATCTTTTCGAACCATCACAATATCCCCAACAGTAACATCTTGCCACTCTCTTAATTCAAATTCTCCAGTTCCACAGTTAACCAAAACCAACCGAGAATTTACCTCTTTGTCCTGCAGAACGAAGAGCTGATAGAGCAAAGAAGAGACAAATCTGTATTGTACCTGCTTATGGCGCCTCCAATCTTCCAGTCCCTCTTTAAGCATGCTTATACCCATGACAAAGATCAAAGGTGCGATCAAGCTGCCTGGAGAGAACGGAGTTAAGGGCGTGAGTGACAAAACTGCAGCAAACAAAAAGTATTGGTTGGCCACCCTTCTGAATTGCTCAAATAATGCCTTTGGGAAGAATGTGATCACGTCGTACTTAGTAGTAGAGACATAATTGGAGAGGTATTTCAGAGGACCAGCCTTGTGTTTTCCTGGCTGGTTGCAGTATACTACCCTTGAGAAACCTGTCGGTGGAAAATCCTTCACTGCAGAAGGTTTGCCGCAGCAAAATGAATATAATCTGCTCCACCTTACACGTTTTCTGTCACCAGTCATTGCAGAACATGATACCAGTCCCACAGGCGGCTTTTTAAAAGACTATTTTGTTGGTTGAAACAAGCAAACCTGCGCTTTTTCACAGTTAATGACACGTAAACACACGGCCTAGCTAAGGGTTATTTTTAAAGACAAACCGCACTGGTTTTGCCTATGAAAAAGCCGGACGTCGGGATGAGGCACGTCATCCGCAGAAGCACCGGGATGGTAGTTAGCTAACAGTGGCCCATAGGGTTGTCTCAAGACGCCATGGGAGCCGACAGTGTGTTGAAGATGGCCAAAGGCGTAGCGACCTGGGAGTTTCCCGCCCTACAACGCGTAATGAGGCTGTCAGCTAAGTCCTGCCGTCAAACTCAACCGAAACATAGTCCTCGGACTGCACCAGTTACCGCGCCTCAGGTTCCAAAATCTTCACGAAAAGTAGCTGCTGAATTGAGCGTGTTGATGCTGAAGTTAGAGACAGATTTCATGGCAATTACTGGGGAGGAGGGCCGAGAAAAATGGAGATGTTTCATGAGAGAAGGAACCCTTATTGAGGCCTGGCTAGATAGAATGCTACAAGAATCTGAACACAAGTAAGTACTAAAAGGATTAAACATAAAATATGGACCGTCAAATGGTACTTTATTTCTTGAGTTATAACAGGGCTGCGCATGGCGATACCAATAGTAGTTTACAGGAATACGGTCTATCGAGGGTACAACTCGGTATCTTAGGTCTCTCTGAAAGTCAGATCGATAGAGCATATCGCATGCTATATGTCTACTCTGTTGGTTGCAACGAGATGATCAAAGAGCTTTGCCTGCACAGCCTCGAAAAGGCTGTGTTTGTTGGCTCCTTCTGGCGTGCCTTCATACATCTTTGTGAGGGACATTCTAAGGTAAATAGCAGTCTTTAAATTCTTGAATTCCCGCCTGTTTCACTAGGTCGAACTTCAAGCGGAGATTGCTGAGCTAGCAGAGGACAAGAAAAATGCTATAGACGAGTTACGCATGATGCGAGGTTGTTTGAACGAAGCATTGGATGGCATAGCTCTAAATAGGCTTTTAGCAAATGAGGATTGGGAAGTCACTGATAATATAGAAGCAACCACTCTCCCAGGAAACGGAGATATTAGAGAGGTATATTTGGCATTTAGATGAATGCTCTTTATTTTGATATCACCTGCCTGCTATCAGCTGGATGAAAAAACAGGAGAACATGACCTGGATATTTTGACAAAAAGATGTGAGCATTTGAATAAAGAAAGAGAAGAGCTTCAAATTCAGGTGAGACCGCAATAGGCTCAACTGATTCATTAACTGCGGAAGTTTATTCAGCTAGACGAAACTTCAAGACAATTGCGAATGGAGCATTCAGCATTAAATCTCACCACCGCTAAAGAACGAGAGAAAACGGGAAAGGTGGTTCAATTAGAAGAGTAAGTATATGTAAGAAATATTATTTCTTACGAACTTCTACTTTTTTCAGAAAACTTTTTCAGGCGAAAGAAGCTCTAGAGAGGGAAAGGAGTGAAGCTCATCATTTGCGTGAGTTATGTAAGAAACTGGAGCATGATGTAGAAGAAACTGAACGAAAGACAGCGGAGATTACTTGGAAGTTTGTGCAGTATGATCGTGATTTTCCTGTTCTACAGAAAGAGGTACTGCTGTAGAGGTCTTACTTCTTTATTTAATGTTTTTCTTTTTTGTTTCAAGCATTAACAGGTGACAGAAAAAAGACACCTTGCTCAAATGCTCGAAAATGTGAATCAGCATGTTGAACAGGAATGCACGATATTGAAACATAGAGTTGAGCACCAAGATGCAGCGTTGGTGAGGCTGAGAAGGCAACTTGATACTTATGAGAAGGCAGTGAAATTTCTAAAAGACGAGGCTAAAGAACATACTCGACTTTTCGAAGATAAAGCACGAG